GGGGGTTTTCGTTTGTGTGACAAAGCAATTGTGAAATTGAGTTTTAATTGTGTTTATTTGACTAGGTTTGTTTGATGGAGAAATATAAGCTTCAAAAATAATCAATTCATGATTTAAGCAGTTTTTATGTTTCAGTTTTTATTGTATAAAAAGAAGTATAATTAGGATTAAAAAATTTGGAGTTACATTATATGAATTAATATTTATAAATTCCCTCATAAAGGAATTATTAATAGTAGAAGTTACATCCACCCATAGTTTTCAATTTCACAATTCAAAAATAAGATTTAAAAGTTTTTTATTCAAAAATTTGATACTTATTTAAATTAATAATATTATAAAATTAAATTAATTTACATATTCACCCATATCCCTCCATCCCTAATTTGGGCCGTTGGATTTAATGGCGCCAATCGATGTCGCGCATAAACAATGTCACCAACCACCGTTGTACGTGCTCAACAGCGGCTAGAGCTGTGGCGATGGCCTCGCTGCGATGACGCTGAAGATTTAAGCAACGCAACTACAACATCGGGATGTTGATGTAAAGTTGTATCATGCTGGAAAGTAGAATTGAAAAATTGCAGCAGTGATGGTAATGTTGTCGGAGACCACTGTTGCAGCACATGCATGACCAGACTCTGTGGTGGAGCTTGGTTGTGGTCTGATGCTGAATGACTGGAATCTGGGGAACGATTTGCTGCAACGACGAATGAATTGAGAATCTGGGAAAAATTGAGTCTTGATATGTGGTGGCGACTGTAGCATTTCACCGTTGTAGTGGCTTTTGGTGTATTTTTCATCGCTACAATGAGTTTGTAGTGTTTTGCGGCATTTTTGTGATAGTTTTTGATGTGGTGGTAGTGGAGTGTGGTGCGGCAGTGGTGGAGTGGGGTGTTGGCGATTTTAGATCTAATTTGTTGGTGGTGTTTGTGTGAAGGGTTGTGTTGGATTTAGTAGAGGCTGTGGTTTTTGTTGGTGGTGGTGGTGGCAGTTTTGAAGTTGAAAGTGGTAGTTTGTTGGAGGTGGTGGTGGCAGCACTAGTTGTGGTGGTGAGGTGGCGCGTCGTGGTAGGTTGGGGTTGGGTGGGGTAAGTGGTGGGATTAAAAGTATTTGTGACCAATTATTTGAGATTTTGATAATAACTTAAATATTTTGTGACCAATAAATAATATGTGACCTAAAAATTTGAATTGTGACTTATAAAATTTATGATTTGTAATCAATAAATAAATTATTACTTACAATTTTATTTTTTTTTTGATTTGTAACCGGTAAATAAATTGTGACTTCTAAAATTTTTAATATATGATCGTGAAATAATTTGTGACCTATAAAATTTTTAATTTGTGATCGAGAAATATTTTGTGACCAATTAATTCAATAATTTTTGAATTATAAAATTTTTTATTCGTGATTGAGATATAATTTGTGATTAATTCATTCGATAATTTGTGATCAAATAATATAAANCCTTTACAAGTTTTGGCTCGAGAGAAATAATTAATGACCAAATAGTAAAGAATTGTGACCTTAATATATTTAATTAATAAAATATATTTTTAATTAATTATTTCATAAATAAAATTTAATTAATATCTGATTTTTGAAGTTTTAAATTTTATTTCTTAATTTTGAAATTGGTTATATTTAGTGGGTGTTTGGTGGGGATTAAAATTAGATTTTTAGTAGAGTCTGATAGAAGTTTTTGAAATATGTGGTTGAAAAATTGTGGAATCGATGAAAGATATTGTTAATATTTATTATTTGACTTTGACTTCAATTAAAATTTGATTTTAATCCGAAACAAACATAATCGTAATCTCTTAGATATGAAATATTTCATTGTTAATATTAGGATACTTATGAGTTGGCCCAAAACTACGGACAGCACCATGGACCACACCCAAAACTACGGACAGCACCATGGACCACAAAAACAATGGACCTCTATTAAGAAACCTACATAGAAAATGGATCGGTAACACGAGCCACAACTTTAATTCGACATGTGAAATACTAGCCCCACATGAAGTGGGGAATCAGCTCTTTAGAATTGATTTAA